GAAAGAGAGAGAGAGAGCAAACCTTTTAGTGGAGAGAGAGTGAGAGAGAGAGGGCCACTAGCAGAGTAAGGGGGATGAGGCAAGGTATAGAGATTGCCTTTTGGCAGAGAGAGAGAGAGAGAGGAAGGTTGGGCATGGTGGATACATGGGCAAAGAAAGAGTGTGTATTTTCATGAGAAGATTTAACTTGGATGAATTTTTCTTCTTGTAGAGGGAGAGGGTGGTAATGGTAAATTAGGGGCAGGAAAAAGGCTAAAAGAAGGGTGAGCACCATAATTTCTTTATTAACGGACCCAAAGGTTTATGGGTGAGGTTTGTACAAGGTGCCCTCCTTATACTATAGAAGTGAGGAACAACACTACTATTTGTTTGGGGATGTAGTTTCGATATCGAAAACCTTATGATGACTTAGAAATCTAGATTTATACCTAGTTATGGAATTCAAAATTTCAAAAGTAATAAAAATCGAACAAATCTATAAAACACTTCAAAATCTTGAAAATAAACTGTCTAGAAAACTTGTTACAAGATGCACTATTTTTATGCCTTAAAATTCTTTTTCGTCTTCGTATCCACACATCTTGAGGTCGAGATCAATTAGAGGGTTCTTCAACATTGGAACGTTCTTTTCTAAAGGATTTTCGATGTGCATCTTACTTCACTAGTACAAAAGTTGCAACCTTATATAAACTTTTGCCAAGGTTTATTTGTGACAAAACTATGAGGAACCGGAGATATGTTTTTACCCTTTTCTTTTTATTTTTGCCGTAAAGTTGATCATAGAGCTATGATGATGAACCTTTTTTGTGGGTCAACCTCTGCCCTAGGATCTCGTGAGTTTGTATGAGGCACCCACTTTAAACAATAAAAAAAAAGTGTACCTCCAAACCTTGCCAAGATGTAGTTTTGATGTTGAAAACTCTTGCAAGGGCCTAAAACTTGTTTCCACCCCCTAATTATGAAATTTAAATCTCCAAAAAAGGTGACGATCACATAAATCTAGAAATCCTTAAAAGTCTTGAAATGATTAATTAGATGTATTTTCAATACCGAGACAACCTTTTTCAATAGATTTTTTAGGTCTGCCATTATTGTATAGTATAATTTTGGCACCTCAGCCAATACTCATCTTTTCATGCATTGCCCTTTTGGCCTGCAAAATCTAGGAATACATCATAATTGTTTTACAATGGAATGTTTTTTGGGTAAGTTAGTCGGGGAGAAGGCCACCACCTGAATTTTTCATTAATAATAATAAAAAAAACACACATTATTTTACAATCCTATAAATAAAGCAGTTACGCCAAATCACCTAATAATAAAAGAGAAAGAAAGTTTTACAATGGACTTAGGTAATCTTGGATGCTATATACCACTTCTTTTAACAAAGTCCGTCCCCACCTTTATTGACTAAACGATAGCTATATGGAGGATTACCGTAGCAGCAACATGTTGGAACTTGTGTAAAAGAGAGGAATTACAGGCCCTTGGAAGGAAAGACAATGGACCTCCATCTAGTCATTAATGCCATGAGGTCCACTACATTCTTACGGCAACACAGGCACAAAAAACTTTCAAGGATGTACCTAGGGAATCTGTTTACAATAGTTTTAATGAGTTGCTCTTCGGCAAGGTAAAAGTTGGTAGACTATGATGTAGAGAAAAAATATAAAAAATTCAGAATTGTAATTTTATTAATTTTTAAATTTATCATTTTTAGTAATGTGTAGCATGAGTTTTTAAGAAAGAAAAATATTGGTGTGAGTTAATTTTATTTTCTAAGCTTATTTTATATTAAAGTGGCTTAAAACATTTAGTTAGATTTAGTGAGAGACTTAAGGGGTATTTAAATGAGAACTTAAGGGATTTAGATATGGGATAGATCAACTAAAGGAGAAATCAAGATTCCGATTGGTATTCCAGAGTTCGGAGTCTCAAATTTCCACTACAAATCATTGTTTATTTATTGAAGAAAAAGTATAGAGGCAGGATTGCATCACCAACGTTTGAGAAGGCTTTTAAAAGATTTGAGTTCGATAAGCTCGAAGTCGAGCTTCTCCCAACCTGAGGAGAATGATGTAAATAAAAATTAATAAAAATTCAGAATTGTAACTTTATTATTTTTTGAATTTATCGTTTTAAGAATGGGTAATGTGAGTTTTTAAGAAAGGTAAATATTAATGTGAGTTAGTTTTTTCTAAGCTTATCTTATATTAAAGTGGCTTAAGATTTAGTTAGATTTCATGAGCGATTTAAGGGGTATTTAAATATGAGAAAGACACGAAATTTAGATATGGAGAAGATCAACAATGATAAAGATTAAAAAAAATATGGTACATGACATTTAGAGAGACATGATATTTTCATTGAGAGAGAAAATAGGAAGAGAGATCTAGGTGGTACATGTGAGAGAGAGGGAGACATTATATTTTTCATGTTTTTATGGTTTGTTTTTTTTTCTTCAAAGTTTATTTAAAGGCAGATGTCCCTTCATTGTAAAGCATAATTAAGTAAATTTAGTCTGAAAAGATCGATTTTGAAGTGAATTCCCTTACTAACCTTGAGAGAGCGTATATTTTATCAACTATTTTATTTTTCTTATTATTTCGATCTATTTTCTCTCTGCATCAGACCACATGATTGCAACCACCCATTGTTGATTCGTCAACCAAGATTGAAGGGCAAGGGGGTGGCTATTAGGGGGGGTCAGGGGCATCACTAGTTATAGCATATGCACTTATAATAGCCGAATGCACTCTTGTGAATCATGCGCGGAGTTGTGGGTGTTAAAACTTGTAGTTAGCAAGTCTCCGTTTAAAATATGATTTTTTCAAAAAAATCTCCGATTGTTTGAAATTCGTTAAGAATTTCGAGTTTTTTTAAAGATATTAAAAAAAATCACTTTTTTTAATGGATCGATATAAATCTGTATTTTATTTTATTTCAAAAAACTTCTTCCTCATAAGTTTATTTCTTCACTAACTTATTACTATTCAATTTTGGTTTAAAGATAAGCACATTAAATTAAGAATCTTGATTTAACAAAAATTTCCATAAAAAATTTCACCAATAAGTTCCCTTTAAAAAAGTCTACGAAAAATACAAACAATATTCCTCAAAAACTAAGATATCAAAATAATTGCATATCTTATAATGATAGGTAGAGTTAGAAGAAGAGTAACTCAACAAAAATATTTTTTTTCTTAAAACCTAGAACATCTTCATAAAGAGCAAGAGAGATTCAATGATACTAAAGATGTAGGCAACTAGGAATTCAATGTAAGATTTGAATTTGCTTAAGCATTTTGTTTTTTTTTTTTAATGACTAAAGAAGTTTGATCAATTCTATATTTTTATTTTCATTTTTTATTCAATTGATGTATATAAAAATAGCATTTTGAATGGACCATTATTTTACTTATTTGAATGTTTGTGTTTTATTTTAGTTACCTACAATTGTATACCCAGGGTCTTTTTTATTTTTTATTTATGAACAATAATTTTATACATTGGTTTACAGTTATTGTAATTTACTAATATAGTTCTTGTTTCTAGTCTTATTGGTGTTGTTATATCATTTTATGCCTTCAATAAATCTATTATTTGTTTTGTGTTGTGACAATAGAGTAAGCATTGCTGTTCGATTTATTGAGAGTTTCGAAAAACACAATCAATATTACTCTAATAACACTAGGTAAAGCCATATAATTACTGTTCAATGGCTTTAATGTATCTATGCAATAATTGCAAATCATAAGCTTATATCGTGCCATTTTTTACATATATGACTTTTTCACTCCATTTTTTTTATCCAAGACTGAAATATTCACAATTCTATAATTTACCTTATTTTTTATCAATCTATATTTTCAACCCCATTTTCTTTTCCAACTTTTTAAAATAAAACCAATTTATTACCGATATTTTGGTTTGCCGACATATTATTATTCCCCAAATGGTTAAAATAAAGCTTGCTTAAACTCTCTACAAAGCACAACGAATCGACTGTAGAGGGTAATTTTACAACGAATCGACTGTAGAGGGTAATTTTGCCAATATTTAATTGGTGCGTGCACCATGATACCACTTTTGGCTATGGGCTTCCATCAGGGACTGGATTATGTTTCACCTATCTAGGAGAGAGACAAAATTCATTCATGTCAACAGAGAAAGGAACAGTACGGCAGACAACTTAGCCAAAGAGAATGAATACCCTATACTACACCTTCTTTACTAGAATTTGCCTCGTCTTTTTGGGTGTATTTCGGGTTTTTTTCTTTTTCATTTGTGTTGTTTTTACTTGTACCTTTTTCAAAAGATTGTTAACATTTTAAAAAAAGAAAGGAAAAATAAAGGTTGACAAACAAACTTTTTACCTTTTATCTTTTATTAGTGGGATGTGATTGGAGAGGAGAAGGCGACAAAATTTGAAGACCCTCCCCCGCCTTTGCGTGCACATATCGGATGTATGTGATGCCGGTACCATTCGGAAGATATATATAGGAGATGCATGTCTTCCAAACCAGTGGTTGTGGTTAGGGGTGGCAATCGGGTGAGGTCGACCTGACCCGAACTGTGTCGAGGTTCAATTTTTAGACTTGGAGGGTGGGGTCCAGGTCCAACTGATTTGGATCCAACCTGGGTCGGGGTTGACACGATCTGGTCTAAAATATATAAGAAATATATTATACAATACATGAACTAATTTTTTTAATTCGAGACCCAGGTCGGGTCAAGTCTAGGAGCAAGTCACGTGGATTCGACTTGGGTTTTGGTACGGGCTAACTCGGACCTAATCCAACCTGTTGACACCCCTAGTTGTGATGTTTATGATGATGTTATTTTTGCTTTTTCTTCTTCTTCTAATGTGGAGTGGAGAAGTTTCTTTTGAACATATTTTTATTTTTTATTGTTTAATCTTTTAATTTTTTTAACGCAAACGAAGTATTGAAATTTTGAAAAATAAAAAATGCAATGATAAATTGGATTGCGAGAAATACTTGGAGAGATTGATCCGAGCTCTTTGAATCCACCGCCCTGTAAACCTGCAAGATAGTGAAAATCAAAATTATAGATGCCTGTTGGATGGAAAACGTCTCCCTCTGTGCCCCTTATTTCGAAGTTTGTTTCGAGCTTTAAATCATTTAAGCGATCTTAGGATATTAGAAAATCTCCCTTGACTAGGTGTTTTAACCATGGGACTATAGTTTGATCGTGCGAGACCACAATAATCATCATTATCATAATAGCCTTTTTAATAAACAAACCATAAACTTCCCAAAAATTGAAATCATGGCAAAAAAAATTGGGGAGGCCAACTAGAGTCAAGGCCGACTTACATCGCTTGACAGCAAAGTCCATTGGTCACAGTGTGCAAGAGTATCACCGAGTCAAACTTCAAAGGAGACTTTGGCTAAAGTTTTGCCCAATTAATGTTCGGAATAACTATAGATAACTCTAACTCTTTCGTGGCATGTTCCGTCCCAATATTTTTTTATCCTGGAGCATTTTTTAGACTACTTGATTTCAAATCACATCACTAACTTCAATATCATTTATAAAACTCGCAACAAGTACCTGGCCTCAGTCCAACACTATGCCCCTGAGAGAAGGCCCGGATGCAACTCTAATACTACCAGGAGCCATGTTGGGATGGGTAAAATTAAAGGAAAGCAAAGCAAAAAAGAAGAAAAAAATAAAGACATGGCTGGAAATAAAGACATGGCTGGACTTGTCTTAGCCTTGCCCTCGGGCCACATTTGTAGCCCATATCCTAGTTTTTTAGGGCAAGGTTGGGCCACCTGGCCCATTGCATCTAAGCCCCCTAGTAAGAAAGTAGCTCTTTAATGATGAATGTACCTTTCAAATATTTAAGATAGTTTCTCTCTCTAATAATTTAAAATTTGAGATTTTAGAGAGATAAATTATCTCAAAAATTTTAAAATAAAAACTTATCTTATAATTTTTAGAAAGAGGAATTATCTCAAATATTAAATTTGTAGAAACATAAATTTTTTTATAGAGGGATAACTGTCTCAAAATTTTTATCGAGAGAAATTATATTTTATAAAAGGATAAACATATGAAGATCTTGAAAATAGATGGTCTAGATAATGTGTTGCAAGATGCACTATTTTTTGTAGTCAATTTTTTTTTTATATTCATACATCTCGATATCGAGATGCTCAATTAAAGGGTTTTTCAACATTAAAACAACAATTTCCGATGGATTTTTGAGGCGCATATGTAATTCCACATTTTAAGGTTGCAACCTTATAAAAACTTTTTCCTATGATATATATTTGAGTTTCTAATGATCCAATTGTAAAAATCAAACGTGTTAATTTAGTTATTTTCTTTGCTACTCTACTTAAAATGTATTTTAAAATAAGCTAATGCTTTATATAGAGAATAAGAAAGACCCAGAAAGGGACTAATGGCTATTGAGAAGCAACACTTTAAATTCTCTCTTTACATGTGTCTCTATATCTTTCTTTCCCTAAAACCTCTTTATGGAAATAATTTTGGGAGGCAGGGGTACCAAACACGAGCTCTCTTACTCTCCCTAAAACCTCTTTCTCTCCTTTATGATTCATTGTGAGGTGGGCGTAAGCGAGGTGCCCTCTCATCTCTATGAGAGCCCTCAAGTATCGTAGGATCAATTCCAACACCATGTTGCATCTTACATAAGCTTTCTCTTTTTAAATTATTGCTAACAACTGTATTTGGGCCAACATGAATTACATTGCATTTTTTTTTCTCACACCAAGTCCGTTATTTCATTCCCCAAAAAGTGAGGCTGTCTCGTATACCCAAGTTCAAAGTTGAAGAAACTCTTATCCAGTCTTTTTGTGCATAACCAGATTAAACAGTATTTCTCATTCTAACTAAGGAGTTTACTTCATAAATCCAGTATTTTTTACCCAATCGATGTGGATATATTAGAGTTATTTGGATATATATTTTTTATTTATCTTCGTGGCAGGAATTGAAATCAAGGGCTGATAATGTTATCTCACCACTTAAAGCCGAAGTCCTGTTCCTAGTGATTTGGATGACTTTAAAAATTCATTTTCTGATATTGCCAACAAAATTAGCAGCCTCCCAGGGGAATAGGGTACTGTTGCCCATTCATTCCAAAAAAGAAGCCACCATCCCTATCTGAAATTTGGCCTGGAATCCAGCAATATAAAAACCAGCCGAACGCTCAAATTCAAGAGCCAGAACCGGTCAGGATCCAGCCAAACGCTTCTCAAATTCAATCCGATAGCCATTTTCTCTCTCTTCATCCCCCAAGAACCATTTTATCTCTAGAAACAGCTCCTATTCCCCCCATTCTCTCTCTGGAACAAAAATCGACTGTATTTCCCGAGATGCTCAAGGGAAGCCGTTAATGACATCAACATGGAAAGATTGAAAGAAGCTAGAAAGAGAGATAGATAGATCAGAAGCTTTCCAAGAGATCTTCACTCTAAACAGATTTGACATCTTTGCTTACAAGTGTATGAACATAAATGTGGCTTATCCTCACTCAAGAATCTCAGAACAGATAGGACAGGTAAGAAACTTTCCCCTTAATTTATTTTTCAAAAAATAAGAGACCACAGATATTCGCCATTGGCGTTCAAAATTTATTTGCTATTCATAATCGTAGTCAAAGTCAATTTGGAAATGAAGCGCTTGCCAGGTTAGGGTTAAGTTGATTGTTGCATAATTGAATTGTAGATCGGCCCAGAAAGTAATTGATGAAATGCAGAGAACAAAAACGAAACCGAAACTGAAAAGCAAGCACTGCAGGTACTACACCAACCTTTGTAGAAGCTTGGGTGGTCAAGACTGCCGTACAATCATCTCCCACACTCATCGCGCATGATACATGATCACCCTGTGCTCCTCAACAAAAGTGCAAGTAGGAATTTATCGATTAAAAATACAATATGCTATGCTTATAGGTGGAAAATTACAAAATGCTTCATTTGTATATAAGTGAAGCATTTTGTATTTTATCTAAAATTACAAAATATTGGGATTGTATATAAGTGGAGCATTTTCGTATGTAATCTAAATTTTATCGTCTATACATAAATCACTGCAAAAAGTAAATTACTCCGAAAAAAACATAAGACAAAAAGAGAGCAAAAATTTCAATTGCATACCGATACCATGCCCCCTCCAAAAGAAACCATGTAAACCCACACTACATCTGATTTGCATGAACCCACCTGCCCAAATAAAAATTTACTTTATTAGTATTTTAATTTTAAAAATAACATTATACTGAAAGATGATTATCATTAAAGCTTTTTTTCGACTATTTAGGATCATACAGATAATATACACCCAAAAAATTGATAATTATTTACCTTTGTGGGAGATATTAGTTTAAGTGGGTACTTAGCAAAGCAGCGTGTGAGAGTGGATCGCCCACCAACTTTGTCCACCACTGCCAATCCACTCTCCATCTCTCTCTCTCTGCACAACTCCGTGGAAGAGAATAAACGAGCAACAGGTCTTCCATTACCCTTTTATATATATATAGATAGACATTGCGCAATACACTTGCCGGCCCACGTGTTACTTTTATTTTGCAGCGAGTAGGCTTGCTCTATTTATTTATATGAGAAAAAGTTTATATAAGGTTGCAACTTTCAAATGTAGAATTACATATTGATTATCTCGATAACAAGATGTATGAATATGAAAAAATAAAAAGATTTTGATTTCCAAAAATAGTGCATTTTACAATACATTATCTAAGCCGTCTATTTTCAAGATCTTTATTTTTAAATATTTTTGAAATTCAAAATTTTATAATCAGATATGAAAACAGATTTGAAGATTTTCTTTAGACCAAATTTACACGATAAGGATAAAATTTGAAGGTGCGCCTTTAATTGGATTACAGCAACCTTATAGAAGCCATACTCTATAATATTGAAAATTGTTGTGGGCTCGAACCTCTCCAACTAAATAATCCTATCCAAATGGATAGGAAATTTGTTTAAAAAGTGTTTTAAAATTTTATTTTTTATATTCACAATCATCATTCATAGTGTGTAGATGATGGATCTCAACAAATTTGGATGCAATATCTATATAAAAAATGGGCACACCAGAATACTGTGGTCCCGAGAAATGGGCACATGAGAAATGGGCACACGATAACACTATGGGTCGGGGGACTCATAGAAACCGGGTCCATAAAATATTATCTTCTCATTTTCACTCTAAGCGGTGGTTCCTTGCACTTTCAGCCCTCCCGATGGCTCTGCTTCTCTCACCAAGTACTGTTAATGGCCGTTCCCGCTTTCACACAAGTCGTGCGTCTGAAATTGGGTCACTGAATTGCATATTTCATATTCCTTTTCCTGGCAAGTATCAGTAGAAGAGGAGGAACAATGGGTTTATACTAAGGTGAGTTTCTCTTGTTCGCGCCATATACATTTTCGGCCCTTTCGGCTTTTCGTTCTTATGTTTATGATTTCCAGCTCTTGCTTTGATGGAATTAGAACGTGGACAATCTCAATGGGGTGAATTTCAGCCTGTTTCACAATGGGTTAAATTCCACTGGATTCTGTCTGTTATGAACATGGATCAATGTTAATAAATAAGGTAGCATTTCCTTAGTGGTTGGGTTAATTACATGGGAACTTGCATAATATCAGTTGGGCATTTGTTCTTGTTCCACAATGGATGGAACATAACACGCATTAGAGTTACAAACCATGTACTATCTCCTTTCTACTGTTTCGGTGGGTGGCTGGTCTCAATTCGTGATACTTATCTTATATTTTCAATGGCATAAACGAAATTCTCCTGTGTCCCAAAATAACTATTTTAATCAAAAAAAAAAAAAAAGGTTAGTATACTAAGAGTAAGTATGTAATTGCTTTGACTATTTGTTGATGCAATCCAACAATTAGTGCTGCAGGGTATTAATACATGGGGTAGTTGTTTGCATAATTAGCAGATTCATGGATTTGTTTTGACAGTGCCGGAGGTTGTGTAATGGTTTCCCGATAATTTTCTTTCTATTTTCACACAAATAATTATTTTTGTTTTAGTGTTCTGTTTCATGCATGCATCCTGAGACATGAAAAAATTGTACCAGTTTTGGACATATACGTTAGTCTTAATAATTTGGAATTCTTATTCCCACATGGATGCATGTAGTCTTTTCTTTTGTGTCAGTTAACTGATGCATATAATCAACTCTTCACCGCTATTTAGTTGTTTTTTTTTTTTTTCTTTTGAATCCCTCAACTCTTTAGTCATTTACTGATAATCATTTTTTTTCCTTTGTACAGAACATTCTTAAATCTTCTACAGAATTGTTCATTGTTCTGTAAAATTAGATTTGGTTTATGAAAAGGTCTTGAATAATCTTTTTGATGGTCAGCATATCGATATTCACTGAATTGCTTTATTACTATTCCTTCCTTTGGCCCATTAGGCCCTTGGAAATTGCGTTCAAATCTTAAGGCCCTTGAATTGTTTACCACCAACTCCAATATACCAGATCTACTATAAATTCCGATCTCTTCTAGCACAGCAACTTTCTATACTAATGTTTGTGTACTGTAGATCTTGTCAAGGAAGGAAATGAAAACTCAAATAAAAAGGATCAAACTTTGAACGATAACATTCTATGTACACTTTCACACAGCGGAATTCTTCATGTGTAGATCAAGTTGCAACTTGGATTCCATGGAATGACTAAACCATGGCCTCGAGCAACATTTCTCGTTAGAGGAAAAGAAACCAAGGATTACAGTGTATTTTTGTTATTACTACTTAAATGAATTGCATTAGGTACCAAAAAAAGGTAAGGTACTAACAATTATATAGATACATTAGGTTGGTACTTTGTTCAGTGTTTCGACTGATTGCACTATCTCTGTATCTATTTATATTATTTTAATTTTAGTGACATGTGCTATGGAATTTAATGTGAGAAATCTGCATTAACCTCTTCCAATAGACTGATACCAATTTTCCCTTTCCAATAGACTGATAACCAATTTTCCCTTTCTTACATGCTGTTAAAGTTGGAATGGAACTCATTTCCATTTAATTTTTGATGAACAGCTTGTTCAAGTTCCTCAGTTACTTAATGTGCTCAGTTTTTGTCTTCTTCTTTTGGAAAATTTTTATTGCGTTTGGAACATAAAAAAGTTAGTATTCTAGAACTTCATGTGATCGTCACCAGTTTATAAATTTAAATTCCCAATATGTGACAATTTTATGAATGTTTGATTTGGTTGTCTTTCCCATTTTATTTTTATTTGGTCTATTGTTCCTTGCAAATATATCAAAACCAGTACTTCTATGCTTGAAATTGCTATTATTTCCTCTATTAAGTTCTGATAAAAGCGTTTGTTTTCTGATCACTAAATTTCTTGGAAAAGAGCTTATTTGAGATCAATTTTTTGCGTAAGTAACGTTGTTTGCCAACCATAGTTTTTCAGATGCCAGTCTACCAGCAAAAATGAAACAAAGTTCGAAAAAAATCTATTGGACAATGCAAGTAATCTTCTGACTAATTTGTTGAGCGGGGGTCGTATTGGTAGAATGCCTGTGGCAGAAGGCGCTGTTTCTGATCTGTTTGGCCGCCCATTGTTGTTTTCTCTATATGATTGGTTCCTAGAGGTGTGTTACAGCTATTCCTTATTTCATCTAGAAAGTAGTCACTGAAGTTTGTTTGATGAATTTGGATAAAAATTCTACAGGTTTTTTGGAGCATACTATCAAAGCTTCCTAACTAGGTACTCTGCAACTCAACACAATCTTCAAAGTTTTCAAAGTGCTTTCTTCACATTTTGCTCAGAGCTCGAAAAGCAAAGAAATTGCATTAGTTGATAAGTCACTATTTTTTGTTAGAATCATTTTGTATTAGTATATGAGTCCAAAGTGTTAAAACCCAGTGGGTGAGCATTGAAATGACCTACATTAGCTTGGTCTGCATGATCTGTGGGTCTTGTCTACAAGCTCAAAATGCCTGAAGTTCCTCCCAAGTGTTTTATTGAAATTGCTTATGTTGTCACTCCCACAGTTGTCAATGGGCATGGAACACTGAAAATTCCATGAGATATGTGTGTGCGATTTGGGTACGTGTCTCTCTTTCTAATTCTATCACTCTACCTATGCGTATGTGGACATACATCTATTCACATTTGTAGTAATCCTTTCTTTTTTGGCTGTCATGTTTATCTCTATTCTATTAATAAACTTTCAAATAGGCTTTGTAATTTATATTCATATGATGTTGCTTAAAATTATATAGATCTTACTATGTAAAATAACTATAATAAATACTTAACTTTCCAATCTATGGATTAGTTTTTTATCAGATAATGGTTAGCAGGTTTACTCAAGCCTGCGATAAGTGCATAACCAAATCATTACCTGTAGAGTAAAAGAAGAAAAAGGTAATATAAAAGGATTGGGAAAATGACACAAGAAGTTGAAGGAACACCCCTTTAAATAACCTTCTATTACCATATGGGAGAATGGGACAGTTACCCTCTTCTCCTGTCCTGAATATCTTTTCCATGATATTAGCGAGGGGGCACCTATAAAGTCCAAAAGTGCGTTACAAGATGCACTATTTCAAAACTTTAAATCCATTTTTTTCTCATGTCCATACGTCTTGATGTCGAGATGATCAATTTGAGGATATTTGGGCATCGAAACAACCTCTTGTAGTGAAATATTTGAGTTCGCCTCTAATTTGATTGTTTAGAGCCTCGGCTCTAGATCAACTTTTTTCCTTTAATTTAAGAGAAGGCACTTATGGGTGATTGATCTTATGATATTTTAAGTGGGGTTAGTTTTGATTTTTTTTAGGGTCTTAGGGTTTCTAACACTTTTGAGGTATGAACAGTAAAAACAGGCTGTGAGTGGTAATAAGAATCCCAATCTAGGGTTTTAGGTTCCCCTTTTTGTACAAGGAAAGCGATGTCTACTCAACTATGGCCTGTTTTGATGGTTTAATGAATTGTTTTGCCTCTTTTTTCTATTTTTCTGCGTCACCTATATAAGGAGATGAATACCCCCCTTACTTATAACATACAATTTCTTATCCTCTCTCTCTCTCTTGACTCTTCTCCATGCCCCTTTTTCTCTTTCATCTCTCTAGTTCTCTCTCTCTCTCTCTCTCTCTCTCTCTCTCTTTCGCTCTCTCTTTGGCTCTCCAGCCCCATAAGGAACAAGGGATGGTCTTGAGGGATGCACGCCCAGCCCTAGAAACAGGGAGGTGCTTTGTGGCATGCCGTAAGTGTTCAAATGGGGTTGTAGACACCATAATAGTGTTGTGCTCTCATAAAGAAAACCCTAGTTTGTGAGATATTGCATAACGATGCTTCTTAGATTGCAAAAGTCAGCAAGACCAATAGGATCAGAGCGTTCCATTGGTTAGGAAATTTGGTGTGAGGTGTACTAAGTCCTATGGGGTTGACCCTAGGCATACTCGAGTAAGTCTTCCCAGCTATTGTTTTGTCTTTCAGTCATATTTGCATAGTTATTCTGATTTTTCAGGAATATTATTTGTACTTAAATATTTAGTGGAAACTTGTTTTTCACTCCTGGTTTATGGTTATTCATTTTCGCAGTAAAAACAAAGGTCTCAGGTTGTGCTTAGGGTTTGTTTTCTTATTTACAGACAATTTTAAGTAGAATTCAGATTGATTAATAAAACAAAAAGAGAAAAAAATTTATTTTATTGCTTTGAATTCCACAAAGCCACTTCTTTCATTCACCATTAGTGTTTACCTGATTTTAAGAAGAGAAATTCTAGATTAATTCTTAGTTTTCATCATGGATCCACATTGAGGTCCGCAAAAGGCTTGTACCAAGATGCGAGATGAACTAAAGACATGCTGAGTAAGAAGTGCAAAGAAAGAGAATTTATAACTATTTTGGCAATAGTAGAAATCTTTATGACTGTATTTTTTGTTTATTATGTAACAATGAAAATTTTCTCCCTCAAAACGGATTCTATAGGTAACTTTTATATTGGTTTTGACATTTGAGAGTTGTCGGTTTTTCATACTTTCTGAGATATATGAGTATAGAAATATCTATCTTAGAATTTCCTGACTTTATATAACAAACTAAAAAGAAATGAGATACAACACACAGCACAAGGGTCCTATCCTTATATAACAAACAGAAAAGAAATGAGATACAACATACAGCACAAGGAGTAACTGTTTATCGCTGCTTTTACATACTTGAGCAAACGGGAAACAGAGAGATAAATCTGGTAGACTATACTGTGAATAATCCTTGGAGTTTGTTTAACAAGAATTAACTGGTTGTTTATATGAGACGAATCCCGGGTTAGTAAATTGTCCACGCTATTATTCTATTATCTCCATATATTTTATCTGCCATTTCTTTCTAACTGTTATGGCTCGTGCTCTGCCAATGTGGGAAGTTCTCTAAGATTAGTAGAAGTTAGAATTAATAATTGTAAATTGTTTAATGTGCTTGTTTTCCTTTATATTCTTTTTATTCATTTTTCGGAGTATTCTGATGTTATATGTGTTGGGGTGCTCATTTATCTGATGCTTGTCCTTTATTCTGCATTGGTTTCAGCTATTGTGCCTGGGTTTCATACATTGTTTTTAGAAGCTATGGTCAGTTTTTAGTAAATGTTCAGAGAGCATGGTGATGAAGCTGGAAAATATGTATCAAATGGAAAATTCTCCTGAAGGGCATCTAAAGGTGGATCTCGAAGCAGAGTTTTCTAGCTTGGCTCTCGACATTATTGGGTTGGGTGTCTTCAACTATGACTTTGGCTCTGTCACAAAAGAATCACCAATCATCAAGGTGTTTACAGTTGTATTATAAATTCATTTCTTAAATTTTATAACCTGCTTAATGGGCTGCTTGCACTATATATTGAGCTTCATCAATTGTTTCATATGAAACACGTGACATTAAAAGCTGACTTGTTGAATTCATTTTGAGATAAACTTGTAATGTGTACAGATGTATATTTCCTAGTCAGGAGGTACTGCCACTACTTCAAAATTGTTGTTTTTCCCATTTAAACCATTGGACTTTATGACTCATTAACAGTTGCCGAACTGGAAAGATTATGGAGGATCTATCACTTAGAAAAGAACTGCATAGGGACTGCACTAACCTATTATTCAAAATAAGAAATAAATTCCCAGATTTTATGTGCGGATGGAAGGTGAAATTGCTTTAGAATATCTATTTCTTTAGAGAAAAGACTTCCAATTGGAGGGGTGTTGATGGAAGTTAGCCTCATGGTACACAGGCAAAAATTCATGAGCAGCTTAATTCGTTGTGATGCAGAGTTAGATAAAACAGGGAAGGTCCTCCTTGTACAATAATTTTTTACTATTAAAAAAGCATTGAATATCTTTTTGAATCTCTTCTTTGTATGAAATGTATGTATTTCTCCTTGCTTCTTGGATTTGTCTCAATGTTATTAGGGCCAGATTGGCCATCAAATCGTTTGAGGGGTTCGAGCTAGTCCACACTGGTTGTATTAGCGAGTCCTGCTAAACACATTGGCGATAAGAGCAAGGAAAGTATACTTAGGTGAACTGGCCATGTGCAACATAGATCTAATGTAACACCGGTTAGGAGGTGCGATTTGGTTCAAGTGGAAGGCTCTAAGAGGGCAAAGTGAAGGCCCAAAACGACATGGATAGAAGTAGTGAGAAAACCTACTGTGATTTTTGGTCTTACTGGGGGTATAGCCCTTGATAGAGAAGAATGGAGGATCAAGATTCATGTAGCCGACCCCAAGTAATTGTGATAAGGCTTGGATGATGATGATGATGATGATTACGCTCATGTATCTTATTTTTGCGATTTCGTAAGCGGCTCACTTGTAATTTTTTATGAGTGATAGACATGTTCATCCAGATCACTTGTTCTCATTTTTGAGTGATTGACCTATTCGGATCATGAAGGTCCGAACTAAGTCATGTGAGTTTTAATGAGATAAAGACTGACTTTGTTCAAGATCCAAACTGTATAAAACGCACAAAAATGAAGTCCCTTGAAAAGAGGGAGTATAGTGTGCTCCCATGGGAGTACATCGTAAACTTAGTCCGTCAAATAAAATACCTATTTAGATTGAGGACCTAAAATTATGCATATCATCATCATCGTTTTAGCCTTTTCCCAATTAATTGGGGTCAGCTACATGAATCGTAGTTCTCAATTCTGCTCTATTAAAGGCCATATTCTCAGTGAGACCCTAAGTCCCCGTATCTTTTCAGACTACTTCCAACCAAGTCCTTTTGTGCCTACCCCTTGTCTTTTTCAGTCCTTTCACTTGAACTAACGCACACCTCCTAACAAGTGCTGTACTTGGTCGTGCCACACATGGCCATCCCACCTAAGTCTATCCTCTCCCATTTTATCGCTTATTGGTACCACGCCTAAATTCAAAACTATGTATATAGCGTGGTGCAATAAAATATTCATCACACAAGTGATTGGGTTTTTTATCTCGATAATTCTGCCTGCTTACATTGTTGTTTTGATTTTACATGGTTCGGCTTGGGTATAATTATATTAAATGAATGGATTAGCATGTCTAGGATGCATTTGAAATTTTTTTTGTTTATTGAGATTTTTCTCATTGACTTAAGTACCTTGCAATTTTGTTGTTAGTGCAAATGCTTATGGTTTTTAGAATGTCATGGGAATCTTGTGATTTTCAGTCAGTCTATGGTACTTTGTTTGAAGCTGAACATCGCTCCACTTTCTATGTTCCTTATTGGAAGTTTCCTTTTGCAAGATGGATAGTTCCACGTCAGCGGAAGTTCCATAGTGACCTCAAAGTTATCAATGATTGTCTTGATGAGCTCATTTGCAATGCAAAAAAAACAAGGCAGGTGCGTATACTGTGACTCATAGATTCTTGTTGATATTTCATCTTCCGACTGGGTTGTTATAGAACATGATTAACAACACTCTCCCGCAAGATGGTGCATAGAGTTGAAATTAAAGTAGAAAAGAAAACAGTTGGTAGGATCTAGAGTGAGAAAGAGAGGAAAGAAAATAAAGATAGAGAAGCAGAGAGAGAGTTGTGAGAGATATAAAGGGAAAGTGAGTGGCTTAGGGGTCACTTATGACCTCTACCCCTCCTATAACATTAAGTAACTTATGGACAATATTGCCCCTATTTTGAAACATATGGAAGAGAAGGAGTAAACAAAAGATAAATGGCAGTTCTGTCCATCAAATACAATAAAGCTTATTCTTTTTATTTTCGACACTCCCCCTCAAGCTGGTGCATTGATACCAATCATGCTCAGCTTCCTTGTGATATCATGTAATTTGTTCCGTCCAATAACTTTGATGAAGATATCTATAAGTTGATCTTTAGACTTCACATGAGGAGTTTGAACTTGGCAACAACGTTCTCTCTGATAAAGTGACAATCTACTTCAATGTGTTTAGTTCTTTCAAGAAAAACAAGATTTTCTGCAATATGAATGATTGCTTCATTGTCACAATATAGAGTCATGGGAAGGTTAACTCTAACACCTAAATAAAAAAGAACACTTTTGATCCACATTACTTTGCGTGTGTTATGAGCCATTGCTTTGTATTCTGCTTCAACACTTGATCTTGCTACCACATTTTGCTTCTTGCTTTTCCAAGTACCCAGGTTTTCCAACACGAAGGTACAATAGCCAGTTGTAGATCTTCTCTCAGTTTGGCAATTAGCCCAATCAGCATTTGTGTAAACTGCAACATCAAGTTATCCTTGATTGGAGAAAATATCCCTTTCCCTGATGGAGACTTGAGACATCTTAATATTCTAAACACATCGAGGTGCGGTTACGTGGTGCATGCATAAATTGGCTGACCACACTAACCGCAAAAGAAATGTCTAGTCGAGTGATTGTGAGATATATAAGCTTGCCCACTATTCCTTGATACTGATTAAGATCTTTTGATTAGCTCTCCCCTTTCTCCATGAATATTATGATTGACTCAATAGAGTATTCGCAATTCTGGATCCCAACATCCCCCTTTATTGGAATATCAAACACCTATTTTCTCTTAGAGACGACTATCCCTTTCTTTGGTCCCACCACTTCAATTCCCAAAAAAAACTTTCTCTGGGATATGCAAGACATATTTTCTCTGGAATATGCTACGCATATTTTCTTTGTTGGGATATGCAGCACATATTTTCTCTGGGAGATGACTATTACTTTCTTTGATCTCGCCACTTCAATTCCCAAAAAATACTTAAAGGGTCTTAAATCTTTGATATCAAACACCTTGCTTAAATAAGATTTAAGATCTTTAGTGCCCTTCACATTATTCCTTGTCACAACAATATAATAAACATACACAACAGGGTCAGTAATTCGAGCAATATCTGTCTTTATAAAGAGTGTATGATTAACATTACTCCTTATGAACCCAACTTTCAGCGGAGCCTCACTGAATTTTTTAAACCTTGTTCTAGGAGACTGTTTAAGTCCGTATATTGATTTCAGATAATCAAAGGGTGGAATTAGGGTTAATAGATCTGAGACATAAAGGAAGTTTGAGATTCGAATTTGAGATAATGAATAAGGTGGAATAATATTGATTAAAAGTGGAAAGAAATTGAGATGATATAAGAGAGGTTAGGGATTGTAAATAATAAAATTGGAGATAAGAAAGAAATTAGTATCAAGGAAGGAGGATAGGATTTAGAACTGATATTAAAGATACTAGGATAGGAGAAGAGAGAATTAGAATTGAGAAGGAAAAAAAAGAGTAGTGTTTGGTATTCAAGAAGGGAAGGAAATAGAATCAGTATCACAGTTCAACTAAAACCTTTTGGATCGATCTCCAACTAATGTTTTGATACCATGAAAATTATTCATGAAGGAAAGAAGACATGCACAAGTAAAGAAGGAGAATGGGTGCATGAACAATGGATCGTCCAAGACAAACAATGTAAGATTACAATTATGCCAATTGCAAATGTCACTTATATCTTATGAACATAAAATAACTAAGGCAAAATATAAATGCCTATTTACATGTTTGCCCTTGCACATCATTCGTTATATCCTTAACAACATTCTTTCATGATTCACGAAATTCTGTTGAAGGGGACATATTTGGATGTATAAATAGAATTGGAGCAGACAGAGAGGCATGTGGTGGTGGAAAACAGCAAATCATCAGTAATGAGTTTAAACGGGTAATGTTGAAGACAAAATCTCCACCTATGTATTGTAGGCAGTAACATAAGTTGGAAGTGAGGTTTTTGTCTATCATCCAAATTTTTGTTGTTTTAAGTCCCTCAAATTCACAACCTCCTGTTTATAAGAACATCAAAGTCTTGCCACTATGTAACTTTTCTGGCTCTTGAGAGCTCTTCCACAGTTTGCCTCTAACTTCTGTCATATAGAAGTCTTTTCATATTTCAGTTTGTGTTTGTTATTTCATTTTTAGTGATTTCAATTTTGAATTGCCACCAGTCTCGCTTACATTTTGTTGATGCAACCTTTGTATTTAGAGAGTTTTCAAATCGCATAATATGCTTTATATAACACTCATATTTCCAGAGAAGTTAACTTCTATCTCCCTTCATAAGTAAGAAATGAATCTCTCAAACTCCTCACTTGAATGAAGCCAACCTGGCAAGCCATCGTTGTGGGGTTAACATTGATTTGAGTTGTGCCAGGAGTGGTTTGGAGTAGGATACCTTTGCTTTGGTATTTGCTAAATTTCCCTTTTTTCTAGAATCAGGATAAAAGCCCCTTCGCCAACAACCATGATTTTTATACTATAGTATTATATCATCTTGATTAGTATGGAAAAGCATAATGAATGTTTACATCAGATAAGCGAACAGGTTTCTCTGGGCTGAGAAAGAAAGAATGTAGTATTGTTGAGTAAGTCATTATTTCATTGGTGATGTGGTCAGTTAGTTTTGAAGAAATCTTAGGTTATTGTGCTCTATCAGTCTATCCTTTAAGCAGTGATTTCTTCTGAGATGAGATTCTCAGTATTGGATAATATATGTTCTGGAATGCCTTAACTTGGTTTCTTTTGCATAATTGTAGGAAACTGATGTTGAGAAACTTCAACAAAGAGATTACTCAACATTAAAGGTCTGTGGCCTTCTCTGCAATTTTCAAAATTGTTGTATCAGAAAATAGACAAATAGTTTCAATGTAGAATATAGTATGAATCTATAGCTACTTTTTTTTGGATATCTTCGCAGGACGCAAGTTTGCTCAGGTTCTTTGATGACATGAGGGGAGAGGATGTCGATGATCGGCAGGTAAGAAGAGATAGTAATACATGTTAACTCTATTGGATCTTCTTAAAAAAAAAAATACACACACCGCCTAAAACTGGCTACACTTGCACATGCTGCAGTACAGCCACCCTGTAACCTTTTTTTGGATAGAGCTCCGGTTTGTGGAATGCCTTCCTTTCTTTTTTCCTTTGACCTTCCTTCATGTATTCTTTTTGTGTCTGCTTTCTGTTTTCTTTTCATCTCCGCTTTGCTCTCTCACTCTTTGCTTTGTTACACTCTTTGTCTCTCTCCAAGGAATCTTCTTTACCCCTTACCCCACATTCCTACTTTACTTCTCCCTCCTGACATCCTCTCTCTGCTGTTCCCCCCCTCTTTCTTCATCTCCAGACTACGTCCCTAATCTTTCCTTTATTTATCTTGATAGTTGATTTTTTAATTGTACAGTTTTAGAGCACCTGGTCCGTGGGATGCCCATAAACACATCTCATGGGTTTTTGTAAATCTATTTCCTATGTAATTATAACATGTCACCAATTCCTAAAAAGAAACACACACAAAATAAAGTGTAGCCTTGTTTTCACTTTTCAACTTGTTTTGTCGTTGCTTTCCAGCGTTTTTTTTTTGGGATATTATTAGTATGTTGAACGTATTTTCCTTGAAATATTTGTTAACAGCTTAGAGATGATCTCATGACTATGCTTATAGCTGGACATGAAACAACAGCAGCAGTTCTTACATGGGCTGTTTTTCTACTTGCTCAAGTATGTAATCAATTGCACCCTTTGTATGATATTTCTTGGAATCTATTATGGATAACTTTCATGTTCATTTCGTTTACTCTAATGAAGGGCGGACTTGCTGAATAGTATCTTGTGGTGCTGCTTTTATACTGATAAGATCTGGTTTACTTCAATGTACCATCCCTCGAAAATGGAGAAAGCCCAATCAGATATTCATAAAGTTCTTGAATCAACTGAGATCACTATTGAATCTATTAAGAAGTTAGAGTAAGCCATTCTGACCATTCGACACATGATTGGTATTGGATACATCTTGGAAATTCTACATCTGTTCAGTCTGAAGCTTTTTATTTAATTAAAGCCGTCTGCTTTGAGGAAAAGGAAGCATAGTAAGAAATTTATCGTATTGAATCATGAGGACAAATACTGTATATAATGGCATTTGATGTGACTAGCGAATTCTCGTTTGGGTTTAATCTCATCCCAGAAAACCGTATTACATGTGTGACATAGTAGATATCATTGCGTTCGAAAAATTGTCTCACCACTCCCACAACCGACTAAAATAAACAAGTCAAATTGCTTATCTGTGAATGTTATGTGATTTCATTTCGTAGTCTCCGGTTTATGCTCATTACAGAAAACCTTATTAGATGTGTTTCAGAGTAGATGTCATTGTGTTGGAAAACTTCTGTCTCACCACTCCCACAACCAACTAAAAAAGACAAGTGAATTTTCTTATCAATGAATGTTATGTGATTTCATTTCGTAGTCTCCACTCAATTTTCTCTATGCTCTTTCTCCCAGCAGTCTATGGGTTGGTAGTGATTCAGCTCCTCCTAGAAACCTTCCAACTCATATTTTTGCTGTATTGTCCTTTTGTGAATAGGCCTGAGATGCTGCATCCATACCTCCTTTGAAGTATTATAATTCATAAATGTGCGTATAAAATTTGGTTATATATAGTTCAAGATCTAATTCATAATAATTATCTCGTCAGCTTCCCAATAGCATAAGAGGGATTCTTTACATAGGTTTTCCCTATATGACTGTCAATAAAACCGTATTAGATGTGTGACATAGTAGATGTCATTGTGTTCAAAAAATTGTCTCACCACTCCCACAACCGACTAAAATAAACAAGTCAATTTGCTTATCAGTGAATGTTATGTGATTTCATTTCGTAGTCTCCGGTTTATGCTCATTACAGAAAACCTTATTAGATGTGTGTCAGAGTAGATGTCATTGTGTTGGAAAACTTGTGTCTCACCACTCCCACAACCAACTAAAATTGACAAGTGAATTTTCTTATCAATGAATGTTATGTGATTTCATTTTGTAGTCTCCAGTCAATTTTTTCTATGCTCTTTTTCCCAATGGGAGCAGTCTATGGGTTGGTAGTGATTCAGCTCATCCTAGAAACCTTCCAACTCATATTTTTTCTGTATTCTCCTTTTGTGAATAGGCCTGAGCTGCTGCATCCATGCCTCCTTTGAAGTATTATAAATCATAAATGTGCGTCTCAAATTTGGTTATATATAGTTCAAGCTTTAATTCATAATAATTATCTCCTCAGCTTCCCAATAGCATAAGAGGGCTTCTTTACATAGGTTTTGCCTATATGACTGTCAATATAACCCGATTTGTTTCCTGCCTTCAAGACGTATCCTAATAGATCGGGCTCATTCTAGATAGTTTGTACCATAAATTTTAACCGTAGTGATTTGGTGTCTAGAGTATTTCATACTTGATGTTTATTGTGACGTTGTTCCTTTTTAAGGCACAAGAAAAACAAATCATATTGTTGTTGAAATCTGGATACACCCACAGATTTCTTTCTAAACACTCTTCATCATGAGCACAAAAAGCACAACAAAGTGCATTGGCCAATCAATCTTACACTTATAGCCACCAATTTCAAATGTACCATAACCGTAATGCTATTTCATCTACATCAAACATCAGGTTTTTCATAAGGAAAAACCTAATCAATGGTTCATGAAAAAACCCTAATTTTCCCCTTTTTTTCTTGTTGGGTGGAACCCTAAAAAATGTGTACTTTTCACCGAAGAAATCAGATATAAGAATGAACCCTTGAAAATAACACTTCTTCCCCCAAAAAAATAACACTTCTTTCAACAGACACTTCACCACGATCTTCATAAAGTAGCCTTTTAAGGATTTCTTCGTTACTGAATTTTCTTCCATTGTCTGGACATATTGCTGAAACCAGTAGTTATTGCCCTGTATTTTACCACCCAACTCTCACTTCTTCAATCTAACCTTGCTTGAATACCAAGTTGAAAGATATTTGATGTACGTCTACTATAAATAGCCACTACTGGAAGGAGGAGGAGAAATAGAGAGAGATTAGAGGAAAAAGAGATAGGGGTGTGTGAGAGAGAGAGAGGGAGGGAGTTGCATGAGAATGAGAGATAGAAATGACATGATCCTTTCTAGGATAAGTTATGTAATAAATATTATTATAGTTAATGATCAAATTATAGAAATGCCCTTGTGTGAGCTTATAACGTGTGCTAAACATGTAGACTTAATTGTTCCATTTATGCCCCTAATTTACTGCTTTACTTTCAAAACTATTCCTATGGTGTTTTTGGTTCCTTGTGTTTAACAACTCATGGTTTCCATGTTCTCTTGGCAAGTTCTGTAGGACAACTGTGAGACCGGCTTTGTTTTATGGAGGATATTGAGATGGATGAGTGGCAAGAGAAGAAGGGATAGAATTCGAAATAAATTTTTTTGGGAGAGTTAGGTGTGGCAATTGGTGATAAGATAAAAGAAAGTGGACTTAGGTGGATTGGCTATGTGCCGCGTAGATCCAGTACAACACATATTAGGAGGTGGAAGTTAGTTCAAGTGGACGGCTAAAAAGAGCAAGGAGTAGTCCCAAAAGGACATGGCTGGAAGTAGTGAGAAAATATATGGGGATTTATGGCCTCACTGAGGGTATAATGCTTGATAGAGTAGAATGGCTGACCAGGATTTTTATAGCCTACCCCAATAAGTTGGGAAAAGGTTTTGATGATGATGAGGTGATCCAACTAAACCTTGAATTGTACTAGCTGTACAGTGTGTTCCACGTACCATTCTCCAAAAGTAAATCCATGTTCATATCCAGTATGTGATTGTTGGGTCACCTCACCCTTTATCAAATTACATACCCTTTCAATTTTCTAGTATTGCAAATGCTTTGGGATTTGATAATGCTCAACGGCATTATTCAACAGATCTTCATAAACTCTCTTAACTTGCCAAAGCATGATCTTTTATTGGTCCCATAAATTGAAAGTTTCTAGAGTTACTTCATGCTTTTGGCACACTTAATCCAAATTTCGAAGGATGATGATAAAAAGGTGAACATTTAGGAATGTGCGAATTAAATAAATTTTATTCTTCTATGAAACTGAATGATTTTTTGATGATCTTGAAAATGTTCTCTATAAGAATGTCGTGCACCTGGTGAGCATACTCTTTAGGAATATTATTAAAAGACAATAGAATATATTATATTGTAGCTATGCATGGAAATAGGAGATGTATTGCATGGATATTGCATCAGTAGGACTGCATCATACCCAAGCACACCATGGTCAAATCCTATATAAATCTTTATCACAATCCATCATTACTTGTTATAAAAATTTAGATTCTCTCTATTCCAATCAAGTCAGGTACCTTTTTTTTTCTCTGGGTTTTATTGCATATTCATAATACTTCTATTGCATCTTCTTATGAGGTCAGCCCTACCTGAGAACTAT